ATAAAGGAGATGGGTACATGATAATGTAAGTGTATATGTCATAAAGGAGATTTCAATCGTGCCATTCCTGTTGTTTGAAGTAGACTGAATTAAGTATTTTAGTTTGAAATCCCAGTGTATTTGCGGACCAGAGGGTAGACTGAATTACGTATTTTAGTTTGAATGACCAGGATGTTCACGTGCCAGAGGGTAGACTAAATTACGTATTTTAGTTTTAATTACCAGGATGTTCACGTGCCAGAGGGTAGACAGAATTATGTATATTAGTTTGAATTACCAGGATGTTTACGTGCCAGATGGTAGACAGAATTACGTATTTTAGTTTGAAATGCCAGTATATTTTCGTGCCAGAGGGTAGACTGTATTAAGTATTTTAGTTTGAATTACCAGGATGTTCACGTGCCAGAGGGTAGACTGAATTATGTATATTAGTTTGAATTACCAGGATGTTCACGTCCAAGAGGGTAGACTAAATTAAGTATTTTAGTTTGAAATGCCAGTATATTTTCGTGCCAGAGGGTAGACTGAATTATGTATATTAGTTTGAATTACCAGGATGTTCACGTGCCAGAGGGTAGACTGAATTACGTATATTAGTTTTAATTACCAGTGTGTTCACGTGCCAGAGGATAGACTGAATTACGTATTTTAGTTTTAATTACCAGGATGTTCACGTGCCAGAGGGTAGACAGAATTACGTATTTTAGTTTGAAATGCCAGGATGTTCACGTGCCAGAGGGTAGACTGAATTACGTATTTTTGTTTTAATAACCAGGATGTTCACGTGCCAGAGGTTAGACTGAATTATGTATATTATTTTGAATTACCAGGATGTTCACGTGCCTGATGGTAGACTGAATTATGTATATTAGTTTTAATTACCAGGATGTTCACGTGCCAGAGGGTAGACTGTATTACGTATATTAGTTTTAATTACCAGTGTGTTCACGTGCCAGAGGGTAGACTGAATTACGTATTTTAGTTTGAATTACCAGGATGTTCACGTGCCAGAGGGTAGACTGAATTACGTATTTTAGTTTTAATTACCAGGATGTTCACGTGCCAGAGGGTAGACAGAATTATGTATATTATTTTGAATTACCAGGATGTTCACGTGTCAGATGGTAGCCTGTATTACGTATTTTAGTTTGAATTACCAGGATGTTCACGTGCCAGAGGATAGACTGTATTACGTATTTTAGTTTTAATTACCAGGATGTTCAAATGCCAGAGGGTAGACTGAATTATGTATTTTAGTTTGAATTACCAGGATGTTCACGTGCCAGAGGGTAGACTGAATTACGTATTTTAGTTTTAATTACCAGGATGTTCACGTGCCAGAGGGTAGACAGAATTATGTATATTATTTTGAATTACCAGGATGTTCACGTGTCAGATGGTAGCCTGTATTACGTATTTTAGTTTGAATTACCAGGATGTTCACGTGCCAGAGGATAGACTGTATTACGGATTTTAGTTTTAATTACCAGGATGTTCACATGCCAGAGGGTAGACTGAATTATGTATTTTAGTTTGAATTACCAGGATGTTCACGTGCCAGAGGGTAGACTGAATTACGTATTTTAGTTTTAATTACCAGGATGTTCACGTGCCAGAGGGTAGACAGAATTATGTATATTATTTTGAATTACCAGGATGTTCACGTGTCAGATGGTAGACTGTATTACGTATTTTAGTTTGAATTACCAGGATGTTCACGTGCCAGAGGGTAGACAGAATTACGTATTTTAGTTTTAATTACCAGGATGTTCACGTGCCAGAGGGTAGACAGAATTACGTATTTTAGTTTTAATTACCAGGATGTTCACGTGCGAGAGGGTAGACAGAATTATGTATTTTAATTTGAATTACCAGGATGTTCACGTGCCAGAGATTTGACTGAATTATGTATTTTAGTTTAAATTACCAGGATGTTCACGTGCCAGAGGATAGACTGTATTACGTATTTTAGTTTTAATTACCAGGATGTTCACGTGCCAGAGGGTAGACAGAATTACGTATTTTAGTTTTAATTACCAGGATGTTCACGTGCGAGAGGGTAGACAGAATTATGTATTTTAATTTGAATTACCAGGATGTTCACGTGCCAGAGGGTAGACAGAATTACGTATTTTAGTTTGAATTACCAGGATGTTCACGTGCAAGAGGGTAGACTAAATTAAGTATTTTAGTGTGAAATGCCAGTATATTTTCGTGCCAGAGGGTAGACTGTATTACGTATTTTAGTTTTAATTACCTGGATGTTCACGTGCCAGAGGGTAGTCTGAATTATGTATTTTAGTTTTAATTACCAGGATGTTCACGTGCCAGAGGGTAGACAGAATTATGTAATTCAATTTGAATTACCAGGATGTTCACGTGCCAGAGGGTAGACAGAATTACGTATTTTAGTTTTAATTACCAGGATGTTCACGTGCGAGAAGTTAACAGAATTATGTATTTTAATTTGAATTACCAGGATGTTCACGTGCCAGAGGGTAGACAGAATTACGTATTTTAGTTTTAATTACCAGGATGTTCACGTGCCAGAGGGTAGACAGAATTATGTATTTTAATTTGAATTACCAGGATGTTCACGTGCCAGAGGGTAGACAGAATTACGTATTTTAGTTTTAATTACCAGGATGTTCACGTGCGAGAAGTTAACAGAATTATGTATTTTAATTTGAATTACCAGGATGTTCACGTGCCAGAGGGTAGACAGAATTACGTATTTTAGTTTTAATTACCAGGATGTTCACGTGCCAGAGGGTAGACAGAATTACGTATTTTAGTTTTAATTACCGGGATGTTCACGTGCCAGAGGGTAGACTGAATTATGTATTTTAGTTTAAATTACCAGGATGTTCACATGCCAGAGGGTAGACTGAATTATGTATTTTATTTTAAATTACCAGGATGTTCACGTGCCAGAGGGTAGACAGAATTACGTATTTTAGTTTAAATTACCAGGATGTTCACGTGCCAGAGGGTAGACAGAATTATGTATTTTAATTTGAATTACCAGGATGTTCACGTGCCAGAGGGTAGACTGAATTGTGTATTTTAGTTTAAATTACCAGGATGTTCACGTGCCAGAGGGTAGACTGTATTACGTATTTTAGTTTTAATTACCAGGATGTTCACGTGCCAGAGGGTAGACAGAATTACGTATTTTAGTTTAAATTACCAGGATGTTCACGTGCCAGAGGGTAGACTGAATTATGTATTTTAATTTGAATTACCAGGATGTTCACGTGCCAGAGGGTAGACAGAATTATGTATTTTAGTTTAAATTACCAGGATGTTCACGTGCCAGAGGGTAGACAGAATTACGTATTTTAGTTTAAATTACCAGGATGTTCACGTGCCAGAGGGTAGACAGAATTACGTATTTTAGTTTTAATTACCAGGATGTTCACGTGCCAGAGGGTAGACAGAATTATGTATTTTAATTTGAATTACCAGGATGTTCACGTGCCAGAGATTTGACTGAATTATGTATTTTAGTTTAAATTACCAGGATGTTCACGTGCCAGAGGGTAGACTGTATTACGTATTTTAGTTTTAATTACCAGGATGTTCACGTGCCAGAGGGTAGACAGAATTACGTATTTTAGTTTAAATTACCAGGATGTTCACGTGCCAGAGGGTAGACAGAATTATGTATTTTAATTTGAATTACCAGGATGTTCACGTGCCAGAGGTTAGACTGAATTATGTATTTTAGTTTAAATTACCAGGATGTTCACGTGCCAGAGGTTAGACTGAATTATGTATTTTAGTTTAAATTACCAGGATGTTCACGTGAAAGAATAAACGAACAAAACGTACATACGTTCATTTATGTGGACAAGAATTCGATTCTTCATACGACCACTTAGACAACAGCAAAAATAAAAGGGACCGAAAGGTAGCAAGAACAGGTTGAGAAAAAAGTATAGGGACTTTTTACTCGACGGTAGGAATATGTAACTGGAAAAGAAATTCAAAGACGTTCAAACCAGCAAAGAAAAGTATGCAGTTCGGAAGTACAAATGTTTAACACTATTTTGGGAAGGACTTGGAGTTTTGTTGTAATTAGACTTGTTACTAATACATGTCACAAAACAGTGTATCAAAATATCAGAATGGCCAGCGGTAGATTAGGTGACCTGCAATACCATTAAGTATCAAATTACATGTAAATACACATGTCCACATTTGCCAACTCGGATACAATATCATGGTAAGGGATTATACAGAATGCATCAACTTTCAATCAAGCTGGCGGTAATGAGAATTTTTTTTCAAAAAAAAAATAGAAAAAAATCATGCAGATAATGAAAAAAGGGCGCAATTTATGAAAAATATCTTGGGGGAATATATTAACTTAGAAATTGGAAATTAAATGATTTTTTCCATAGTGATTTTCTTTGCCCAGCCATTATTTTTCCATCCCCGCAAATGTATTTGTAGAAATAAGAATATCTATTTTGAAGTTACGCGCGTAATGACATCGGAACCTTTCTTACCTGTTCACTGGTATAGTGCTATCCGGAACTCCTTGAAATGGCATGTTACTTCCGTCAAAGATAATTACATGGACGATAAAATCTCCGGTTATTGAGATGTTAATCTCATGTACGTATTGTGAATTTCTCGTTGCCTGTAATGTTATGCACCAAATAAAAGGTAAATATACACACTACCTACGGATACATATTGTTTTACAAGGAACTTATCATAACTACTTTTTTTGAGCCAGTTTCCAAGCGAGGGGTCGATTTTTTAAAATCTGGAGTTGCTTGCCTTGTGTATTTTTAATGACCGTGGACCTCGGATTTGTCAACCGGCACATAAACTTGAATTCTGCTGATATTTCGTTTAAATAACGTCAGTCATGAGTGCTAAAACAAAAATCAATGTTTAAAAAATAATATCCTGGCCTCGAGTGCCTGTGATCATCCACTCATACCTCCGGTAAAGACGCTTAAGCCAGGACCTCGTTATCGTTTCAGATCACCCAGCATGCAATGGTGACCAGTTCCGGTGTACAAGTGGGCAGTGTATCCCGCAGGATTTACAATGTGATGCCTCGTTTGACTGTTATGACAGATCGGATGAACTCGACTGTGGTAAGGCATATCGTTTCGTGTTACTAATTTGAAGATGTGTTTCATGAACACAAGCACATGTTGATATGTTCTAAAAACATTTTTTTTTAAAAAAAGAGAGAAAACCCGCCGTGTTCATGATTTTAAATACGACTTTTGCGATCATGATAATACCTCGATGTTCATGTTATCTAAATATAGCTCAATTGATAGATTTCCCTTTATAATATTATCTTCGAATATCTAAATTTGATTATTTATACGACCTTGATGTAGATAGATTTAACTATTTTTACTTTCTTGGTATCGATAAATTTTACTTTTTATGCTTTTTTTAAATTTGACTAATTAAACTTCCTTGACGTAGATAAATTTGACTATACTTCCTTGACGTAGATAAATTTGACTATACTTCCTTGACGTAGATAAATTTGACTATACTTCCTTGGCGTAGATAAATTTGACTATACTTAAAAATTTGACTATACTTCCTTGATGTAGATAAATTTGACTATACTTCCTTGACGTAGATAAATTTGACTATACTTCCTTGACGTAGATAAATTTGACTATACTTCCTTTGCGTAGATAAATTTGACTATACTTAAAAATTTGACTATACTTCCTTGATGTAGATAAATTTGACTACTTCCTTGATATAGATAAATTTGACTATACTTCCTTGATGAAGATAAATGTAACTATTTATATAGTGAAACCTCGCTATTAATACCACTTTGGGGACTGGACAAAAGTGGTCTTAATAGCGAGGTGGTCTTAACAGTGAGGTGAATCAGATTGACCGCAAAGAACCGTAACTCTATTTAAAATAAAGACTATATATATCATTAAGTAATGTACATGTATATCATTCAACAATAATAACTAAACTTTATATAAAATGTTGAATTCTATGAAATGCATATAAAAAAGATAAAATTGGTGAATTGACAAAAAATATATATGTATATATTCCTTAGTTTATATCATAATACACATGTATATTTGCTATTGTAAACATTGAATAAAAGAAAACAAAAAAATCAATTTTAAGTTCAATATGAATTTAACGTTATTTTTTTCATTTTTTCACATAAATTTTCAAACACATTTACTCAGTATTTGTAACAACATTAATGAAGTCACTATAAAGTCTTTCAACGCATCATTTTCCACATAAATTCGCTAACACATTAACTTTATCAGTGTATCACTCAGTACAACACATTTGTCTTCTTACTAAAAAACACAGGAGTCCAGTGCACAATGTTAATCGTTAATTAGTGGTCGTTGGGACTGTGAGAAGTGGTCGTAATATGGAATAGCGGGATGGTCGTAATACTGAAGCGACCAATACAAAGATATATATTGTAAAAAGGGGACTGAAAAAAATGTGCCCGTAATCGCTGGTTGGTCGTAATTTTGAGGTGGTCGTTAGGTGAGGTTTCATAAATTTGACTATTAATACCAGTTTTACCATACTACCTTAATGTTGCTGAACTGGACTACTCATACAACGCAAATATCGCTGAATTGAACTGCTCTGCTACCAAAATAGCGGAGGATTTCATACTACTGAAATATAGATGAATTTGACTACTTATACTACAGATTGAAGGAAACTTCACTCAATTCAAAAGTATCAAGGGAACCGTGGTTATAACATTTGTCACGAATCTAAGTTAGAATTCATTTCTTACAATACATATCTACTTTTGGGATTACATCCTGCAGTGTGTTGTAAGGAAAAGAATTAATTAAGTGTTTTTGTCCCCACAGAAACATTCTCATGCTTGTACAGTCATCGTCATTGTCGAAGTGGTCAGTGTGTACCAAGAGCGAGATGGTGCGACTACTTCCGGGACTGCCCTGATGGATCCGACGAGGACAACTGTGGTAAATACAACAAATTCTGTGCCACATTTTATAATTTGTTTTTGTCGAGATATCAAGTCTTTAATGTCGACTCCTGCTCTTTTAATTACCAGTATCGGCAGTATGATACATACTATGATATTTATTTGTTTATTCATGAAACGGACGAGATCGATCAATCAATTAATAAATATCAGTCAATCCATCAATATCAGTCAATCAATCACTCAATCAATATCAGTCAATCAATCAATCAATCAATCAATCAATCAATCAATCAATCAATCAATCAATCAATCAATCAATCAATATCAATCAATCAATCAATCAATCAGTCAATCAATCAATCAATCAATCAATATCAATCAATCAATCAATATCAGTCAATCAATCAATCAATATCAGTCAATCAATCAATATCAGTCAATCAATCACTCAATCAATATCAGTCAATCAATCAATCAATCAATCAATATCAATATCAATCAATCAATCAATCAGTCAATCAATCAATCAATCAATATCAATCAATCAATCAATCAATCAATCAATCAATCAATCAATATCAGTCAATCAATCAATCAATCAATCAATCAGACAGACAGTCAGTCAGTCAATCAATCAATCAATCAATCAGTCAATCAATCAATCATTATCAGTCAATCAACCAATTATCAATCAATCAATCAATATAAGTCAATCAATCAATCAATCAATCAAAATTAGTCAATCAATCAATAACAGTCATTCAATCAATATCAGTCAATCAATAACAATCAATCAATAGCAGTCAATCAATAACAATCAATCAATATCATTTAATCAATTAATATCAGTTAATCAATCAATATCAGTCAATCAATCAATAGCAGTCATTCAATCAATAGCAGTCAATCAATAACAATCAATCAATAGCAGTCAATCAATAACAATCAATCAATATCAGTTAATCAATTAATATCAGTTAATCAATCAATATCAGTCAATCAAGTAATATCAGTCAATCAATCAATATCAGTTAATCAATTAATAAAAGTCAATAAATCAATAGCAGTCAATCAATCAAAACTTCCTTTGTATATTAAATTGCTGCCCTAGTTACGCCTTTTGCTATTGACGATATTTCATTTTTTCTATTTTTTTGTGTTATCAAGGAAACATAGCAAAAATATCACAAAGTTATTGTTACCTTTTCCTTTCCAGGTCACAACTTCAAAATCATTTCACTCAACTCCACATAACTTTCTGTATATATTAGGTTAGTGTCCTAGTCTTTTTTATTGAGGACATTTTATCATCTATCTTTTTTATTGAGGACATTTTATCATCTATCTTTTTTATTGAGGACATTTTATCATCTATCTTTTTTATTGAGGACATTTTATCATCTATCTTTTTTATTGAGGACATTTTATCATCTATCTTTTTTATTGAGGACATTTTATCATCTATCTTTTTTATTGAGGACATTTTATCATCTATCTTTTTTATTGAGGACATTTTATCATCTATCTTTTTTATTGAGGACATTTTATCATCTATCTTTTTTATTGAGGACATTTTATCATCTATCTTTTTTATTGAGGACATTTTATCATCTATCTTTTTTATTGAGGACATTTTATCATCTATCTTTTTTATTGAGGACATTTTATCATCTATCTTTTTTATTGAGGACATTTTATCATCTATCTTTTTTATTGAGGACATTTTATCATCTATCTTTTTTATTGAGGACATTTTATCATCTATCTTTTTTATTGAGGACATTTTATCATCTATCTTTTTTATTGAGGACATTTTATCATCTATCTTTTTTATTGAGGACATTTTATCATCTATCTTTTTTATTGAGGACATTTTATCATCTATCTTTTTTATTGAGGACATTTTATCATCTATCTTTTTTATTGAGGACATTTTATCATCTATCTTTTTTATTGAGGACATTTTATCATCTATCTTTTTTATTGAGGACATTTTATCATCTATCTTTTTTATTGAGGACATTTTATCATCTATCTTTTTTATTGAGGACATTTTATCATCTATCTTTTTTATTGAGGACATTTTATCATCTATCTTTTTTATTGAGGACATTTTATCATCTATCTTTTTTATTGAGGACATTTTATCATCTATCTTTTTTATTGAGGACATTTTATCATCTATCTTTTTTATTGAGGACATTTTATCATCTATCTTTTTTATTGAGGACATTTTATCATCTATCTTTTTTATTGAGGACATTTTATCATCTATCTTTTTTATTGAGGACATTTTATCATCTATCTTTTTTATTGAGGACATTTTATCATCTATCTTTTTTATTGAGGACATTTTATCATCTATCTTTTTTATTGAGGACATTTTATCATCTATCTTTTTTATTGAGGACATTTTATCATCTATCTTTTTTTGTTGTGACTTCTTGTATTACTACAGAGTTTATATAGTGTTGCATACATTTGTTTATGGACAATATCAAGCTCTATTAAAATATCAACAGTCGAATACACAATATCTATATTTAGATATCAACTCTTACTTTAAGGTGGATATATAAGGAATATAATGTTAAAGTTGAGGAGATGCAAAGAAATTAAATTGACATTTGACAAAAGAAGACATTTTGCACTAGCTCTTCACTGTATTAGATCTTCAGGTGGTAGTAGTGGTACATAATTGAGTGACGTCACAAAATGTAATACCGGTATCTATATATATTTATTTGGGTTTTACACTAACAGCTGGATACGGGGGATAATCCCGGGCTGTACTACTCCTTGTTTGGAAATAATATGGAAAAGCTTCGAAAGAAAACAGCGTTTGATAGCTCGCATTTGTATTCATTAGCAAGTAAACAACAGAAAAAGCAGGAGTCATCCTAAGTTGTTAAGTTCTTGTGTTGTATCATTTATAAGTAGGTAAAACGTGCTGACCCATCCCTTCGTCATTATATGCCAATAAAATATGTTTAAACTAAACGGACTAAAAGAAATTAGAATGCCATTTCCTGTTGAACTTATCTCCCTTTTATGAACGCTCTACAAACCTTGGGGCCTATATATCACTTCTATTTGATTATTTCATGATAGGACTACATTCAATCAGGAACTGATTCAATGATGCTAAAATGTATTTTTTCAAAATTAATTTGAGGATTATTTTATACTTGGCAGGATAAACGTTGATTTAGATTTTAATAGCTATGCAATCGTCTAAGAAACGGAGGAGCAATGTACTTTTCTCACTCTCGCGAGATTAGGACAAGCTATAAAGTTCTGCATCTTGATTTGTTATGTATTGATTTTCCTCACTACAGATTTGTATTTGATACAATGCATGTACCAAAGCTACATTTCATCGCGGTTTCTCCACTTGTCTTGTTCACCAAGCCGCTTATCTCTTCGTAAAGATTTCAAGGATCTCGTTCAGTCAGATTATTTCTCTACTAGATGCCGTTTTCCATGTTTGGACAATAAAAAATGAAGGCATACATAAAGGAAGGGGGGTAACTCTGTGTATAATTATATTTATCTATTTGTTACTTTGTTTATGCATTTATTTTTATTTGCAAACTCATATCATTAAAGAGAGCCACACAGGCGTCTGTGGTGCCTTATAGATACTTTATAATTGTATTCCTTCGTGCGATATCAAGCTAGGTGTATTGGACCTGTGCTCTTATTCTGCTCCATTCCGATCAAACGATCGAAGACAGAATGGGAATATTGAAATGCGGCTGTCCGTTCACGTCGTCGTTTCCGAACAATAACTTGAGTTCATTTGGATCAAGTTAAAACTCCCTCAAATATTGCTTTCTCTTAAAGTTCAAACGTCAAGGACACTGCCACTATGAATAGAATAACTTGATATCGTTTGACCGATCAAAATATTCATACAAATAAATCATACAGTGCCTTTTTATATCACCGTATCATCAAAATGAAAAATGTCAGCGTATTTTTTGTTTTGTTTTTATGTTACAGAAAGACCAACACAGTGTGGAGAGAACGAATTCCGATGTAAAAATGGCCAGTGTATTGACAAGGATATGGTTTGTTACAAGGGACTGGGCACTGAAAGACGAGGCTGTATGGACGGTTCGAACCTACACAAAGATCTGTGTGGTATGTTTGATAAATGGGCAGTGAAAGGTGAGACTGTATGGACGGTTCTAACCTACACAAAGATCTGTGTGGTATGTTTGATAAATGGGCAGTGAAAGGTGAGACTGTATGGACGGTTCTAACCTACACAAAGATCTGTGTGGTATGTTTGATAAATGGGCAGTGAAAGGTGAGACGGTATGGACGGTTCTAACCTACACAAAGATCTGTGTGGTATGTTTGATAACTGAGCAGTGAAAGGTGAGACTGTATGGACAGGTCTTCTCTTCTCTACGTCTCAAGTAAAAAACAACGCAAACGCAAATATACAATTTGCCGTACCAGCCCGTGTGCCTAGAGTGCAGTCGGCGTTTAATGTTCAACGAAACAATGTTCAGCAGTATAAAAATCTGATGCAGCCCGATAATGTACATGTGAAATATTCTCTTTTCCTTTAATCTCTCGCCGTCCACGACACAACCTGCCGCCCAGAAAAAACCGGCGATAATCGCCGGAAATCTGTGTCCGATTTGGCGGGAAACAATTATATCCCACTGCAGGATGGCCTAGGCGTAACGCTGGACCTGCGTTAATATTGATACAAGCTACATAATGTATCTACGGAAAGGCTTTACTCCTACTCAAACTATACCATGCATTTGTAAAATACATTATTCAAACGCTGGAATGCCCGCTACTACATGTCAAAGCTACGATTCCCATTAAAAAAAAAAAAAAAACTATATCCGCACTGCTCAGCGCACGGCTAGAGAATGTCCTCCTATAGGACTCTACCACCGCGTGTGCCTGACTACAGCCTATAGCTACTGCACGTGCTACTTGATCCCGCGTGCCGGTAAGACAAATTAATCCCGCCTTTTCTGATAGAACCGCGGGATTATTTGAGTCTTCTCTCCTCTACGTCTCAAGTAAAAAACAACGCAAACGCAAATATACAATTTGCCGTACCAGCCCGTGTGCCTAGAGATTAACAAAGAAAGCGAGAATTATGACTAAAACTAGGAATGTACTTGTAACAAACAACCAACCAAAATTATACATTATGAATTCATAAACCTAGCTGTTTGGTAACACGGAGTCGCCTAACCAGTGAATCAGCGACATATCCGTCCTTACTACTATCTGACCTCCACCGCCCGTGCCTCTTTAGTCACCTGTCGCCGACGCCGTTGTTGGCCGCCGCCGTGGCCCCTCCTGCTCTCAGGGAGTGCAAACCAAAATTAACACCACCACTGACACCTTTCAGCCTCTTAAGGTCGCTTCACGAGCCCCAGTATAACTCAAAGGCTTGCATTTTTTTATTAAGCGACACATGCCCCGCACACGATAAACTTGTTTAAATAAGAAATCATCTGACTTTAAACTGATCTCCCCTAAGCTGATGTAACGCTGCAACATAGCGTGCGGGCAAGCAGACGTGTGCCCTTTACTTATTACTACTTCCTTACCGAACCGATATTAGTCCGTTTTGCTTCTCTTAATTTTCAGTGAAAAATGATCCGGAAAAAATTCAACGTCATTACAACGCAAATTGCTGAGCTCGTCAAATCGCAAAAAACCCGCAAAACCTAGCAAACACATACACAGATCCCTGACGGCTAGAAGGTCTTGAGAATCGATAAAGCCATTACATATAGTTATTAACAAGCCACTGGTTCCTTTTTCTGTCTTGGTTGTTTATCTGTACGCTTGGCCGACTCCACAAGGCTCTGTACGAAATTGTTGGACGTAGGATCCTCATAACCAAGTAAACTGTGGGCCCACTTTATGGAATATATCGCAGCTGACACCACCGCGTACGACGAATTGTTCCGTAGTAAAACATTAATGTATATAGCAATATGAATAGGGTTCGCTGGTAAATTAGCCTTGCCGTGAGAAACTATGAAACGCTCCCAGCGTTTAAAACAACCAAAATATTTTTTGTTCGTATTGTCACTCTTACTCAAAAGAAGTCTGTCCACTAATCCGTCTGCCAGCTAATATAGCGATGAATCCTGGGTAACCCCGGCTGCTAGAAGTTGACGGTCCACGGTATCTTGTAACCTCACACCTGTGAATAAACAATATGGCACACACTTTGTAAGCCACTGTACCTAAACGTTGAAATCTAGCCTTAAGGCTATCATGTCAAAAGCCAGTACTTGGTCCCCAAAAAAAACGTTATTTCCTCTGCCTGGCCATGTCACATTAGCATGCGCTAAATTGCAACAGCCGACGATAGGTTCTTTAACCAAGTCACTATTGTTGAACAGAACTGGCCAAAACGCCGCAGATCGCCAACGCGGGATGATTAAAGTCCCACTGCCCCTGTCCGCTTTCAATTTACTTACTACCCTACAAACTAGCCGCGGCGGGGGCACGAACCAATTATTGACCCCGGCCCAGCTTACTGTGAAGGCATCTACAGCCTCAGTACCGTTACACCACCATCGATAATTGAACTTATGACATTTGCTATTGTAATCGGTAGCAAATCTGTCTATCTCATGCGGGCCCCACATACCTTCGCACTTCTCAAGCACCCACTGTTGTACCTGCCAGTCATCACAATCAGAGCACCTACTAAGGAAATCTGCAGTCGTGTTTTGACCCCTGGGTATCCTGTGGGTAGACTTTCACGTCCCAATCATGGCAAAAATGCTGAACTTCACGAGCAATTTGCTGCAAATCTGACTTACCACTTCCTACGTTGACTATTGTAGTCACGTTCTTATTGTCAATAAACAGCTTGACCTTCTCGCCCTTTATTCTGTTCTTAGCTGTATACAATACCCGTTTGACGGCCTCCATCTCTCTCCATGTAGAGCTTAGGCGCCTCTCTTGCTCATTCCACGTGCCTAATACTACCTGACAACCCTCTTCATAGATCTGCTCTATACCTGGGATATTGACTCTACCCCCCCTGTGCAGTCATGCTAACCAAACCAGAACTATTGGATAAACAACCGGGAAAACCATCCTTTCTCTTTTTATCCTTCATATGATCCCCTCCTTGGGATACAATGCCATTCCTGGACAGCCCCTGTCCTACACCTTCCAAAAGGCGCCCCACTCTCGGGGGTACATCACCGCAAGCCGTAAATGTATTGTCAACTACACCCTCAAAAGGGCACCCCACACCAGGGGAAGCGTCCTGACCATCCATCTCGTATGGGTAGTAGACATCACGATGTAGATATGTATCATCGTGTGTCTCAAGGAGGTCAAAACTGGCGACGTACCCCCCGTAGCCAGATGCGGAAGCGTCAGTACAAACCACTGCCGAACACTCAATATCTTCATGCAGTTTAGAACCTACCCGGTTCAGATCTTTCAAGTTTTCCAGCCAATACACAACCTCGTCTACTGCTGACGCGCTTATGAAAACACCTGCATTCCAGCTGGCCCTGGCTAGTAAACATTTGCAAAGTTCACGCGTGCGTAATCTAGCCTGCGGGCCAACTACGCCTTGCATAGAAATGACTTGACCAATGATACCGGCGACAAACCTAGCCGAGAATAAAAGGCAGCCCTGACTGACAAGTGTCATAGTCCGTGACAACAATGACAACAAGCGCTCTACCCTCTCATTGGTCGCCCTAACCACGCCCTCTGACATTGATCACGTGTAACCTAGCCAGACCACGTGCTGAGACGCTGTCCATTGACACTTCTCATGGGCTAATAGAAAACCAAAATCTTCCAAATATAATCGAACAACCTTGCTTAACCTATTGGCACCGCCCTCTGTACCTCCTATACCGTCGTCCAAATACATGATCAGTTTATGGCCTTGCCCCCGTACATGCTTTACAACCTCTCTCAAAACTTTGGTAAAAACGTAACCGGCAGTAGCTATGCCGAAAGGTAAAACGTTAAACACGTAGACTCTGCGTACCCCACCAACCATGGTATGAAAAACTAAAAACTTTCTGTGCTCCGGGAATATTTCTATATGATGATATGCCGCTTTTAGGTCAAATGTATACAAAAAATCACCTTCATTGAACAGATCCCTGGCAACTTTAGCATCTTCGTACTTGAACTTAAATTTATGTAAACAACTGTTGATGTGTCTACAATCTAGCATTAAACGCGCCTTACCCGACCTGCTAAAAGCTACTGTCAGAGGATTTACTACAACTGGCTGATATTCCGTCTCAGATACACATCCCAATGATACCAACCTGTTTACCTCTGCCTGAACGAAACCGCTGTTGTCTCTAGCAGACTTGTTGTTTTCCAAAAATACACAAGGTGGAGTTTCTCTAAATGGGATCTTATAGCCTTCCGAGATTATTCCAAGCACTGCACTACAAGCACCGATTTTTCCCCAGTAACTGATCTGGCCCTTAAGCCTACCTACTGGTGACAATGCATTGTCAACTTTCTCGTTCTGAAAACTTTTCTCTACGTTCTTATCTACACCAACCTGTATGGTACTATCTAAAACAGGGTATCGTTCGACCTTTGGCTCAGCATGCTTAGAAAATAGGTCAATACTTAACTTATTGCCCGTGGCTGTCAAGCTTGGTCCTGCGTTGACCCTCTCCGGACATTCCATGCGCCAATGCCCGACTTTCCCGCACCTGTAACAGGTCCCCGGCCTGTGACCACTGCTCGACCCGGGGGGTGTGTCCAGCGTCCTGCTGACGGTAATACGGTCGTCCCTGTTGCTCGGCGTCGTAGGGTAAGTATCTCCTAGGCCTGTTCCTCCCTTTAGCCTTTAGCGCAGACTTGACTTTCCGATTGGCCCGGGCTCTGGCTCTGTCAATCTTCCTCTCGTCGTCGGAATCCTCTGCTATTGGATCCGCTTGATACTCCTCCGCTGCCTTCCATCCTGATTCGGAAGTGTCAGCAAGCAACACCAACTTTTGTCTATAATCCAACATTTTCATACCTTCGATAATCTTGGCGCGGGCCTCCTCCCCGTCTCTCTGGATGCAATGTTCCGCCTCGACCATTTTAGATTTCACTCTCTGGTTGAAACGGTACTGGTCTTCACAAGCCTTCCTGGT